CCAATACTTGAAGATTTTTCAAGTCCGGGGTATGCAGTTGTAGCGTGCCCCGGCAGCAGTTTGATTCAGTCGAGCAAGTCCGGGTCGAGAATCGAGAGGCACAGCGTGAATTCCAACAGAAATAGAGACAGAGAGATGAACGTGCAGGGAGTAAGAGCTGTGAGGACGATACCGTATGCTACATGTGCGCGTCTATGATGTGTGTCGTACCTGTCCCATGTACACGCTTGGAGGACCGGGTAGATCCAAGCTGCTCTGTGGCTCCTAACCGAAGCACACAGCCATCACACAGCTGCTTGGTGGCTGGCAGTCCATTCCGTGCTAGCTCATGGCAGTAAAGCAACCGTCTGTGCTACAGCAGTAATAGCCTGAAGCCGAGTAGCCTGGCAGCAGCCCCGCGGCTGTTGTGTATGTACATTGCTGGTGCTATCTATGTTGTGTCAGCTCTAATGATGTGTTGTCTGCTGTGTTGTACAGGCGTTTTGGTTTCCGGGGACGCACCTCCCGCAGCCCAGGTCACAAAGAAGCGAGATATATGTCCGTAGGTCTTGCCAATCCCCCCCTCCCCCTGATTGAACTAGCGGATTACGAGGATACCACTAGACCACCGGGGCGACCGGTGTAACATTACACAGACAGACGCGAACGCCTTAAGGCTANCCTCCGCAGATCGCGGCGAAAAACCAACCGCCGTGCCCGGCCCCCGGAGGCAGTTCCTAGCCACACACAACACACCTCACCCACGCACCACACGACGGTCATCATGCTGGGGAATGGCAAACATTACAAAGACGCGAAAGCCTTAAGGCTAGATGTGGCGGCCATGTTCTCGGCAGCTGGCCGTAGCTTTCATTCCGGGAAGGGAGGCGGCAGGCAGAAGAAGTACATCTGCAATGGCGCCGCAGGAGGATGCCAGGCGACCGTGCGCGCCTACAGGCAGAGGTCGGAAGAGTGCAAGGTGACGTCACACGTGGCCAATCGGCTCATCGAAAATGAAAATGTTATATACGACACCGGTGTCGTATATAACACTACCGTTGTAAAAACCTGACTTGAGGTGGCGGAAGGACGCATCCCACAGAAGAAGTGGTTAGTTCCTTTTGCGTAAAGCACCAGGGAGGGTGTTCGTGTGGGTGCGCATNGCGCTGTGGGCCAAGAAATGGTAGGTATCGTATATAAGGAAGTACGACACCGGTGTCGTATATAACACTACCGTTGTAAAAACCTGACTTGAGGTGGCGGAAGGACGCATCCCACAGAAGAAGTGGTTAGTTCCTTTTGCGTAAAGCACCAGGGAGGGTGTTCGTGTGGGTGCGCATGTAGTCGGATCTAAAACGGATGGAAAGGCTAGGGGTAGGGGCTGGCCCAATGTCTGTGTGGGTCTGTGTGGTCTCTAATCATTCAAGTGACAGGACCCTAGGTGAGAGAAAAAATCNGTGTGCTACCGCCATGCCTTCTCGGGCACCTGCCGGCGCTCCCCGTGCAGTTGGAACCATGCGCTGGTCCCACCGGCCCTGTACAAGGAGGTCTCGTCGCGGCAAGGGGCTGGTCGAGGCAAGCATCGCGTAGCGTCGCCATCACCGGGCCAATACAGCTTGATGTGCGAGTTCGGGATCTTGTCGGAGGGGAGCGACGACGACCAGGCCGAAGGGGGCGCCGCTTCAAGGAGTGGAAGGTCTCCGGTCGTGGATACGGTATTCGCTTGTTGATTATTGCTAACTCAGGGCAAGCAAGGAGAAGTAGTGAAGCAGTGGGGCTGAGCAATCCTAGCCTCAAGACGGGGCCCGGCAAACCGGACCTTACTACGAGTACATGTTAAGAACAACGCATTCTCCCAAAGGTGCAACTCCTATCAACCGTAACCATGTA